ATCATGGCTGCCCAGCCACAGCCCACTGGGGCCAGAGTGGAGCATCCCCCGCCTCAGGCCTCCCTGCTGTAGGACCAGCGGGGCCTCCGTGGCTCTCCCAGGAGGCGCCGTGGAGGCAGGCAACTGCTGAGTGGCCAGCCCAGCATGCCATGTGTGGGCTCAGCCTTGCCTTCCCCAGTGGTCTCCATGTCCTGAGTTCCTTCCTTTAAGAGCACAGGTAGCCTCTGCATGGGCTCAGTCATGGGAAGCAGGTGACTTTCTGTTCAGTGTTGCTGCCTCGGTAGACATTTGGGGACCCAGAAGTGAACGGAGCTGCTGCTGTCGACATCGTCCCTGTGTCCTAAGGGGAGCATGCGGAGTGGCAGGGGCCGAGGGTCCTTCTGGAAAGCTGGGGCCAGAGTTCTTGCAGGGAGGCTGAGGCTTCCTGACTGCCCCTGTGACCCCAGCCTCTCAGAACAACCCAGGCCATGGCACCCTTGGCACCGTGGTCCCCCCACTTCCTAGAGGGGCAGGCAGTAGGGGCCCCGCCTGCACTGTGGTTCAAGCCAGCCACATACTGGGGACCTGGGGGAGGGCAGCCTTCTGATGTGGGCGGGGGCGGGGGGGGTAAATTCTGTGGACTTTGAAGCGTCTGAGAAAAAGCGAACCTTTTATTGAATCAAAAACCTGCGGGCTGGGCGTTTCATTGACCCAACTGCAGTGGGAGGTGTCTGTTGGTTAATGAGAGAATGTCTTCATTTTATAAATCGACGGGACCAAGCCTGTGGGTGGACAGCTGCTGTATAAGTTGTTTAAACATCAAGATGTGTAGACTTCCTTCTTACACTCTGAAATGCTTCTGGGATAGAACACCAACAATCAGGAAGATTTAAGAAACATATGCCTTTGGGGTCTCACTCTATTGTCCAGGCTGGAGTGCAGTGGCATATATAATATAAATTGAGTTTTTATATATATATAAATAAATATATGTATATTGAGTTTATATAAATATATATATAAACTCAATTGCCTGGGCATTGAGAGCCTCTTTAGGCCGCAGGATAGGTGCGTACGACAGAGAGGGCTTGGCAAACACCCTGTACATGTGGGCCTGAGACTGCTGTCCCCAGGACCCCCAGGTGGCCTTCAGATGCACACACCTGAGGCTGAGACTTCACGGAATGAGGGGTGACAGCCGTTAAGGCGGCCTATTGTGTTATTCTCGACTTTTCTTTTCTTTTTTTTTTTTTTTTTTTAGTTGGAGTCTCACTCTGTCACCCAGGCTGGAGTGTAGTGGCATGCTCATGGCCACCGCAGCCTCGACCTGCTGGAGTCAGACAATTCTCCTGCCTCAGCCTTCCAAGTACCTGGAACTACAGGCACACACCACCACACCTGGCTAATTTTTTATTTATTGTATGAGGTCTCACCAAGTTGCCCAGGCTGGTCTCAAACCCCAGGGCTCAGGCAATCCTCTCATCTCATCCTCACAAAGTGCTGGGATTATAAGCATAAGCCACCACACCTGGCCCTCGGCTTTTCTTAAAACAAAGCCTGGCTCTCTGTCAAGTCCCAAACCACATGAAAATGGAGTCCTCCTGCCATGTCCTGGGACACCGCCTGGGACCTGGGGCTTCCTCAGGCTGCGGTCAGCGCCGTGTCTCAGTTGAGGGGACCGCAGACCCCCCCACCTGCCCACACTCCTCACCTACCTCAGGTTCAGCGTCTTCCCTTGAGCTGTGGGCTACAAGGCCAGGCCCTGTGTCCACTCCGTGCCACCTGAGCACAGGCGTCCCGTCCCCAGGCCTATGCCAGGGCTCCAAGGGCCTGCTGTGAGGGCACTCCTTTCAGGAAGACTCTGTTCCTTAAGTAAGTGCAGAGCGAGTAATTTAACGAACCCTGGAAACAGCTAAGGATGGCAGGAGAGGCCTCAGCAGCTGTGGGTTTGCTACTAAGACACTCGCCTGTGCCGTTATCTGGGCTGTCACTGAACGCTTAAAAAGTTCAGTGATGCCTTTGAGAATTTTTCTGGGGGCTCATCAGGAAGTTCCCCAGTTCATACATACAAACTCTCATTTCACCTATCAAGACACTTGCCCTTCCAGGTGCTGGGTCCCCTTTCATTCTGGATAATAACATCCTGATCTCCTAAGGAAACCCTTTCTGCATGATCCAGCAACCCCACTGCTGGGTTTGTACCCAAAAGAATTGGAACAGGGTCTTGAAAATCACTGGCACATCCACATTCACAGTGGCGTGATTCCCAGCAGCCCGGAGGTGGGGGCAGTCCACATGTCCATCCACAGAAGAGCAGATAAAAGGGATGCGGCATGTACGTACAATGGGGTGTTACTCGGCTCAGGAAGGAAGAAGACTTGTCACATGCCGTCGCGTGGAGGGGCCTGGGGACCTTGTGCTCAGTGAAACGAGCCAGTCGCAAAAGGATAAACACTGCGTGATTCTACTTACATGAGGCCCCTGAACCGCCAAGTCAGAGGCAGGAAGGGGAAGGATGGCTTTGGGGGGCTGCAGGGGGCTGGGGGTGGGGGTGGGTGCTTAATGCCCACATCAAAGGGCAAAAAACTGGCTCTCAGAAAGCCAGCGAAGAGGAGCGTCAGACTTCGGCAGGGCTGCTGCTGACTTTGTGGGTCTATGGAGCTCCACTGGAGACCGGCGCTCCTGCGCGGACGAGGTGACCTCTGGTCACCCAGCTGCTTCCCAGTGTAACTGCCGTGATGAGAGGGGCAGGATGTGGGCAAGAGCAGGGCATCGGCGGGAGGGGGAAAGCTGACCGTCTTCTTCGCCCGCCCAGGACGAGAAAGTCTCCGTGAGGCGGGGGGTGCCCTGCCCCCTGAGGCGTGAGGGATCACCTGTGCCCTTCAGGAGCAGACCTTTCCCCTCCAGGACCCTCCACGGCCCATGGCCCGCCCTGCTTCTTTGGACAGAGAGAGCTGGCCCCTTCAGTGGCCGGGCTTGAGTCCCGGCAAATGTGCCATGGCTGCAAAGTCCTTTTCTCTCGGGGTGTTGAGTCCTGGCGTCAACAGGGAGGCAGGTCCTGGTGGCAATGGCAGAGGGGTCCCCTGGCTGGTGGCGCCTGCATGGATGGTCCCCAGCCGGCACGGCACGGCCACTCTGGAGAACAGTGGGGCGGTTGTTGTCAAAGCTCATGACCGTCTTTTGGGAAGGGTGCTCTCAATAGCTGCCAGTGTGTTGGACTTCCTGCAAACACATGACGGGGTGATGTCGCTCAAGGGAGACATAAGCACAAATACATTGAATACAGAGAGTAATTAAGTACTTGGTGTCTGTCTTCCCTTCTTAGTCTGCTGAGCAAATGAGATTATGTCATTCAGATAATTCGTTTTTTTGCTTTTTTTCCTTTTACTTTTGTTAGAGATAGGATCTCGCTCTGTGGCCTGGGCTGGAGTGCAGTGGCAAGAGCATATAGCTCACTGCAGCCTTGAACTCCTGGGCTCAAGCAATCTTCCTGCATCAGCCTCCTGAGGAGCTGGGACTACAGGTGCGCACCGCCTGTTAATGTTTTGTATTTCTATTTTTTGCAGAGACAGAGTCCCACTATATTGCCCAGGCTGGTCTCAAACTCCTGGCCTCAAGCGATCCTCCCGCCTTAGCTTCCCAAAGTGCTAGGATTACAGGTGCGAGTCACCAAGCCAGCATTTTTTTTTTCTTGAATAAGTCATTTCATGAATAAAGTGACATTGGAAACTGTGGGAACCCTCAGGTCAAAGCCATCTGGTATAGTGTATATTTACATAGTGATTAGAGGGAGCTTGGGAGTGGGTTTGTTTACCTGCATTCCTGGGGTGAGGGCAAACAGCTGCCTAACATCGGAGCTCAGCCGAATCAAGACACAAAAAAGTCATCTCTGGTCAGAAACACTCGAGGTTTCCGGCGGGCTTTCCCTGTCAGAGAGCCTCCTGCAGCAGACTAAGGGGTTGGAGCTATGAGATGCCATGGCCTGCTTTAAAAGGAATGCACCACCAGGCACGGTGACTCATACCTACAATCCCAGTGCTTTAGACTGAGGTGGGATGTTTGCTTGAGCCCAGGAGTTTGAGACCAGCCTGGGCAATATAGAGAGACCCCATCTCTACAACAACAACAAAAAAAATTTTTTTAATAAGCTAGGTGTGGTGGTGTGCACCTGTAGTCCCAGCTACTCAGGAGGTGGAGGCAGGAAGATCGCTCAAGCCTAGGTCGAAGCCATGGCAAACCATGATCATGCCACTGCACTCCAGCATGGGCGACAGAGTGAGATCCCATCTCTATTAAAAAAAGTCTTTAAAAATTACCTGGGTGTGGTGGCTTGTGCCCATAGTTCTAGCTACTCAGGAGGTTGAAGCAGGAAGATCGCTCGAGCCCAGGAGGTCTAAGCTGCAGTGAATTATGGTCTTGCCAGTACACTCCAGCATGGGCGACAGAGTGAGATCCCATCTCTACCAAAAAAAGTTTTTAAAAATAGCTGGGTGTGGTGGCATACACCTGTAGTCCCAGCTACTCGGGAGGCTGAAGCAGGGAGATCGATCAAGCCCAGGAGGTCGAGGCTGTGGTGAGCCATGACCGTGCCACTGCACTCCAGCCTGGATGCCACGGCGAGACCCTGTCTCAAAAGAATAAAAATTAAAAAGGGGTGGGGCCAGGCTCAGTGGCTCAGCCTGTAATCCCAGCACTTTGGGAGGCCGAGGCAAGTGGATTGCCTGGGCCCGTGGGTTCCAGACCAGCCCGAGCAACTTGGCGAGACCTCGTCTCTACAATAAATAAATAAAATCAGCCGGGCATGGTAGCAAGTACCTGTAGTTCTAGTTACTTGGCAGGATCGCTGGGGCCCAGCAGGCCGAAGCTGGGTGGCCATAAGTGTGCCACTGCACTCCAGCACAGGCAACAGAGTGAGACAGCAACCAAAAAAGGGATGGGCCTGCATCTGTGATGCCACTGGCCTGCGTCCCCCTCTCTGACTAACCCCGCGCACTCTTGTCCGCCCAGGAGCAAGCGGCACCATGGACTGGGGCACCCTTCACACCGTCATCGGCGGCGTCAACAAGCACTCCACCAGCATCGGCAAGGTGTGGGTCACCGTGCTGTTCATCTTCCGCGTCATGATCCTCGTGGTGGCCGCCCAGGAGGTGTGGGGGGACGAGCAGGAGGACTTCGTGTGCAACACGCTGCAGCCCGGCTGCAAGAACGTCTGCTACGACCACTTCTTCCCGGTGTCCCACATCCGGCTGTGGGCGCTGCAGCTGATCTTCGTGTCCACGCCGGCGCTGCTGGTGGCCATGCACGTGGCCTACCACCGGCACGAGGTTGCCCGCAAGTTCCGGCGTGGGGAGAGGCGGGGTGAGTTCAAGGACCTGGAGGACATCAAGCGGCAGAAGGTGCGCATCGAGGGCTCGCTGTGGTGGACTTACACGGGCAGCATCTTCTTCCGCATCCTCTTTGAGGCCGCCTTCATGTATGTGTTCTACTTCCTGTACAACGGCTACCACCTGCCCTGGGTGCTCAAGTGCGGCATCGACCCCTGCCCCAACCTGGTCGACTGCTTCATCTCCCGGCCCACGGAGAAGACCGTGTTCACCATCTTCATGATCGCCGCGTCTGTCATCTGTGTGCTGCTCAATGTGGCCGAGCTCTGCTACCTGCTGCTGCGGCTGTGTCTTCGCAGGTCCCGGCGGTTGCGGGCGCCAGGCAGCCACCCCAGCCATGCCCTGAAGGAGAGGAAGCAGAACGAGCTTAACGAGCTGATCTCAGACAGCGGCCCCAACGCGATGCCGGGGTTCCCGAGCTAACCAGCCCAAGGTGGCTGGGACTTGTGGCTTCTCTGGAGGGTGTCGGCGCCCCGGGAAGTCCTTCCCCCAGCCCAGAGTCTGCCTTGACACGGAACGTCCGTGATGAGTAGGTGCCTGAGCTAATATTTTGTAGAATCCTTGTGCCCCTCCATCTCCAAGGACAAAGGACGGGGTGACAGCGGAGCCTCACGTGAGCAGATTCATGTAGCGTGGACAGTCTGACCAAGCAGGTATTTTCTGAAAGTGCATGTGCCTGCTGCTGCTAACACGTCTCTAGAAATAATACTTTTATTAGTGAAAGGTATTTTTATAGGCTTGAATGTTTCTAGTTCTAACCTTGAATTTATATAAAGTATTTTTGTAATGGCGAGTCTTCCTCAGCTGGAGAGGCACACGATGTTGGCGTGAGGATGACGCCACAAGGACCTGGATTCTGAACTTGCAGAGGTCTGTCTTGCAAGTATAGCTTTGCGAGGTCTGCTAGCTGGGTGGGCTGCCGGATCCTCTTAGGTAGAGGGTGTTCACTATATGCTGTGTCCTCACTGCTCTCTGGATGTCAGGGTGGGGCTGGGGGTGGGAGGGGGAGCCTGTCTGACGATCGCTGTGAACAGCTGGAACGTGAGTGTGGTCACCTCAATAAAGCTCAGCCCTGTTGCTTCAGCCATCGCGTGTGCCATAGTCTTTGCTCCTCCCGGGCCCCTGCCCCCAAGGTGACATGTCATGACTTTTGCTGGGGAGACCCCGGTGATGTAGGTGGAGGCTGGCACTTCAAAAGGGACTGCTGCATCCTTACAGAAATGGGTAGAGGCCAAGTGCAACAGCCCACCAGGCGCTCCAGGGGCGGGGGCTATGTTTTTTGTTTTGTTTTTGAGTCGGAGTCCCCTCTGCCACCCAGTCTGGAGTGCAATGGCATAATCACAGCTGCCACCATAGCCTCAACCTCCCAGGTTCAGGCGATCCTCCAGCCTCAGTCTCCCGAGCAGCTGGGACTGCAGGCGCACACTATCACGCCTGGCTAATTTTTATTTTGTGGTAGAGACAAGGTCTCACGATGTTGCCCAGGCTGGTCTCGACCTTCCTGCCTTGGCCTCCCAAAGCACTGGGATTACAGGCCAGAGCCACTGTGCCCAGCCACTGTGCCCAGCCAGGCTGCTTGTAGGACACTAGGATAATGTCCTGTGTGTCAGTTAGCTGGATGGGGCGGAGGCAGGGAGGCCTCAGCTGCCCTCAGAGCCTGCCCCCAAGGACTTCCCGCCTGAGTCCTCAGCCCCCGGTGACTGAGAAAAGCACCCACAGCTTCACACCCACAGATGGGGCCCCTTTCTCCCCTGGGAGCTCTGGTTGGACGTGGACTCCTCACTGTGGGTCTAGGTGAGGGTGAGGCAGGTCAGCCACTGGGGGGCCTTGAACACACGAGTGCTGCCTCCAGGAGATCCAGGCGAGCACGGTGCGTGGGATGCCAGGTGGGCTGTGAACACACGGGGCCAGCATGGCACGCTGACTCCCATGACCTTCCCGAAAGAAAGTGCTCCCCGTTGTCCTTATGGTCTAACGCGAATCCTAGACAGACTCCATCCATGAAGACAAAGCCGAGGGCTAAGCTTTCACATCAAGTCGCCGTTCCACGGTGACGGCCACATGGAAGCACTGAGCCAGCCTTCACACCCATCTCCTGCTGTGGCCCTTCTCTGAGTCGCTTGTGGAATGTGTGTCCCAGAATGCCCGAAGCAGGGGGGTTTGGATCCTGGTCTGCGGAAGAGGGACCCGCTTCTCGGGTGCTCCGGGATGCCTCAGCCCCTCAGAATCGCAGCTGGACTTCCTTCCGCCCCTGCTGTAACAGCTTGACTAAGGTGCACTCGACATGCACAGAACTGCACACATGCAGCATGTCCAACTTTACAGACTTGGACCTGTGCAAACACCCGTGATCCAGCACCACCATCAAGGTCATGAACACATTTCTCACCTCTAGATGTTTCCTTGCAGCCCTGTGCTTTTTGTGGTAAGATCTTTTTTTTTTTTTTTTTTGAGTCAGAGTCTCACTCTGGTGATCAAGCTAGAGTGCAGTGGCACAATCACAGCTACCATAGCCTCAGCTTCCTGGGGTCAAGCAATCCTCATGCTTCAGCCTCCCAAGTAGCTGGGACTATAGGTGCGTGCCACCATGCCCCAGGCTAATTTCTTAATTTTTGTAAAGGGCTAGGGTCTCAAACTCCTGGTCTCAAGGGATCCTCCCACCTCAGCTTACCCAAATGCGGGAATTACAGGCATGAGCCAATGCATTCAGCCTCCACTTGGTTTTTGACAAGGATGTGAAAGCAGTTCTGTGGCGGAAAGAGTCTTTCCATCAAATAGTGCGGGGGCCACTGGACATCTACAGACCAAAGAACAAGCCCGGCTTAAGACACGTCTAGAAATTAACCCAAAGGAGCCACAGAATTAAATGTAAAGTGTGAAACTATAAAACTGCTAGAAAAAAATAGGAGAAAATCTTCAGGATTCAAAGCTGAGCAGAGTTCTTAGACTTGACCCCAAAGACACAAGCCATGGAATACAAAGTGACAGTGTATTTCATGAATGTGAAAAAGTTTGCTCAGCAGAGACCCTGTGGAGATAAGAAAAGTCAAAGAGATGTGTCTAATTTGTGCAAAGGCCACAGAGTGAAAAAAAACTTGCAAACCACATCTCTGACCACGTACGTGCCTAGGAGAGAGAAAGAACTCTAAAACCCACAGTAGGAAGACAAATAGTCCTATCAGAGCATGGACAGGAGATGGGAAGAGGACTCAGCAAATGCATGAAAAGATGCCAGCTCGGCTAGAGAGCTGGGAAACACGGCAAGACTCACCTGTCAGGCAGTGAAATAAGAAACAGCCACAGAGCGAAGGGCAGGTGAGGATGAGGAGAAACACCCCTGTGTGTGTGGCCAGCAGGCGTGCAACACAGTGCCGCCACACTCTAAAACAACTTGGCTATGTCTTTAAACATGAACGACACAGTCACCCCGTGGCCCCAGGACATTTATCACAGAGAGATGAAAACGTGCCTTCACAGAAAACCTGTTTTGAAAAATATTCCATGTTCATGAATTGGAAGAATCAACATTGTTAAGATGTCCATCCTACCCAAGGCAATCTACAGATTTAACACAATACCCGTTAAATTTCCAGCAGCATTCTTCTCAGACCTGGAAAGGGCAATATAGGAATTCATATGGAAACATAAACAACCATGAATCACCAAAACAATCCTCAGCAAAAAAAAAAAAAATCAGAGCAGGAGGTATCACACTCCCAGACTATAACTCCATTATAAAGCTACAATAATCAAAACAACCTGGTATTGGTACAAGAAGAGGCATACAGACCTATGGAACAGGATAGAGATTCCAGAAGCAAAACCTCAATTTCTCAACCAACTCATCTTCGACAGAGCCTCCACCACCAACAACTAGGGAGAGGAGAGCCTATTCAGTAAATGGTGCTGGTAAAACTGGCTGACCACATGCAGAAGATTAAAACAAGATCCCTACCTATCACCATACACAAAAATCAGTTCTAAATGGATCAAAGACCTAAATGTAAAACCTCAAACTAAATGAACCTTAGAAAATGCAGGAGACACTCTTATGGAAATTGGAGCTGGCAACCGATTCCTGATCAAAACCCCAAGTGCCCATGCCATAAGAGATAAGATAGATAAGTGAGATCCCATCAAACTGACAAGCTTCTGCAAAGCCAAAGAAACCATCAAGAGTGCAGGGAGACAGCCCACAGACTTGGAAAAAATATTTTGTCAGCTGTGTGTCTGACAAAGGTCTAACATCTAGGATCCACGAGGAACTCAAACGTCCCGAAAAGAAAAAAACAAACAGCCCCATTACAAAGTGGGCAAAAGATATGAATAGACAGTTCTCAAAAGCAGATATATGAGCAGCCAACAGATACATGAAAAAATGCTCAGCCTCACTAGTCATCAAAGAAGTGCAAATTAAAACTACACTGAGATACCATCTAACTCCAGTCAGGATGGCCATCATCAGTAACAAAAAACAACAGATGCTGGAGAGGATGCGGTGAAAAGAGAACACTTCTACACTGTTGGTGGGAGTATACACTAGTACAGTCTCTGTGGAAAACAGTGTGGCAATTCCCAAAAGATCTAAAAATTGACCTTCCATACGACCCCACAATCCCCCTACTGGGAATATACCCGGAAGAACTCAAATCACTCTATGAAAAAAATATCTGCACACATATGTTTATCACAGCATTGTTCACAATAGCGAGAAAATGGAACCAACTGTGCTGCCCATCAAAAGAGGGCTGGATTTTTAAAATGTGATACATATACACGATGGAATATTACACAGCCATAAGGAAGAACATAGTCATGAACTTCACAGCAACCTGGATGGACTTAGAGTCTATAATACTGAGTGATCTTTCACAGAAACAAAGAACTGAGTATCACATGTTCTCACTCATAAGCGGACTTGGAATGATTATCATAATACTATGAGAAAGGGATTGGCAGTAGCGGGAAACTGCTGGGAGCAGAGTGGGGAAGCGGGATTGGCAGTAGTGGGAATCTGCCTGGGGAAGGAAGGGCACACCTCATCAACAAGGGTACCTGCATAATGAACGTTTGTATACCTAACTCTGAATAGTACCTCACGTCTTTAAAATTAAAAGTTAAAAAGAAAGAAAGAAAGCCTGTCCACAAACGTTCATATTATTCATGTAAGTTAAAAGCCAGAAACAGCTGGCAGGTAGCCAACCCCTTTCAAGGCTGTGGTGAGCTGTGATTGTGCCACTGCAACCCAGCCTGGGCAACAGAGTGGGATCCTGACTCAAAAAGAAAAAAAAATGGACATGTCTGTGTGGGTCTGTTTCTGGGTTCTCTGTCTGGATCTGTTGACCTTGGGTCTCTCCCTCTGCCAGTACCAAATGATCTTGATTATTGCAGCAGTATAATATATCTTGAAATCTGCTGGAGTGATTCCTTCCCCTTTATTCTTCTTTTTCTAACTGTCGTAACTATTCTGGTTCATTTTTCTATTACATGGATTGATACATAATATGACTTTTTTTTGGGATAACCTTGTCTATGTCTACAAAAAGTTTTGCTAGGATTTTGATAGGAATGGCGTTAAGCCTCCACATCCATTTGGAGAGAATGGACATCTTGACTAGGTATATAATTCTCTTTATATATTACTGAACTCTATTTGTTACTATCTTATTTAAAATGTCTGCATCTATGTTAATGGGGGATATTGGTCTGCAGTTTTCTTTTGTGTGTGCACTGTTCTTGTGTGCTTTTGAAATCAGTACAACGTTAGATTCTCAGAGAAACTGACAAGTGTTCCCTCCTCTATTTTCTGGAAAAGATCATGTAGTATTAGTGGTAATCCTTCTTCAAATATTTGGTAGAACACTCTAGTGAAACTACCTGAGCCTGACCATTTCTTTTCTGGGAGACTTTTTATGACAAATTCAACTCCCTTAATAGTTGTAGGGCTCGGCTCACTTCATCCACTTTATATTGGTGGAGTTAGGATCGTTTGTGGTTTTTGAGGAAATGGTCCATTTGGTCTAAGTTGTGTAGAATTGTTTATGGTGTTCCCTTATTACTGCTCTGATGTCCATGAGTCTATTGT